AAACTCTTCAGATTCGCTGAGGGGTCGCATAATATTCATCAGGAATTCGCCAAACAATTCAATCAATTAGTTCAGGACTTTATTTTGAACTACGAGTGAAATAAATGTGACAATATTTTTTAATATGAAATGATTTTCTGTTAAAAAGATTTGATGATTGACATACATTTGGAAAATTAAAATAACATTTAGTAAAATATTGATAAAATTCAAAACAAATGCAAAGTTTTATTAGAGAAAATTTTATTTCTTAAAAACAATTACAGAAATACTCTAATGAAGACCAAAGCCATCAAATGTGGCACTAATTTGGCATAAATTGCGTTCGAGTTATAAATAGAGGCTTCAATGTTATGATTGAAATCCGTGTGATTTGTTTCATTGGCTTTATTTGCAAACATATTCTGAATCTCTTTGGTTCTGCTGTCGTCCTCGACGTCCAACTCATTGCTGTCGAAATTGATGCCCAAAGAGTTGGGATCAATGGAGTGGTCCAGAAAACAGGCCGGATATGTGAATGTCCTGTCTTGTGGTAGGCATGACCTGTACGTCAGTACTCTGGAAGTGGCGGAACTGGTGTATGTCTTATAGAATTCTTCGTTCACGAGAATCGCCGCCTGTTCTCCACACCTGTCTATCACTGACTTCACAGCACAGGTCTGGTACTCAATCCACCAACTGATGGGTGATTTGACAGCATTTCAAATGAAACAAAATCTATTTATATTCATATTTTTGTATCCAGTTTTTGAATGCTTACCAACAAATTTGTCTAATTTTCTGGAAGTTGTCGGCTCTGGTGTTGTTCCGCGAATACCCGACCGCAGAGAGCACCTCATCCTTGCTTTGAGTCAATACTCTGTATTTGTTTTGGCATCGCTTCTGATCTGAAACTGTTTTACTCAGACACTTGCCGTGTTTTACAAACACTACGAAATGACATCGATATTAGGGATAACATGATATGAGAGTCTCATGGATATGAGATTCGCGTATTAGAATATTGACACAAAATGTGAAGATATACTGTAAATAAGACTCACGTCTACTATAAGTTGAGTTAAAATTGCAAATATCTCTGAAATGTGGAGAAGAGAACTCATTCATTCGGCTAATGATTACATCTCTATTGGTTTTGCTTGAAATGCATTCATTGAACACATTCTTATAGCACTCGTCGTTTTGCTCGATATCTCTGCTTATATTGCATAAGACATAAGGAAAAAGTTTTTTGACAAACATGTTACCAATAATTACCTGCAATATTGTTTGAGTTGATTGAGGTCCGAAGGATAAAATTGTAGATTTATTTTATATGTTTGACTGCATTCTCGCAATTTTCTTATAACACACTCCTCTTCCTCTTTGGACTCAATTGAAAGCAAACCTTTCATTTGACGCCATCAGACAATATAATTGAAACGTTTGTCATATTTGATCATCAAGATATTTGCTTACCTGATAATAGCACTAATAGCACATAGCGTAACATTTCTTAGACCATTAATTTATTCAAACATTCATACATTAGTAGACTGAAAAATGATTACAATAAGAATAAACTACAAAATTTTGTTTTATAAAACTGATTATTATTTATTTCCGGATTTCCATGTAGTGATGATTGGTTTTGAATTGTGTAACAAATAAATTCAGACATAAATCAATGTGGGATAAAGGATAAGGATGTGCGCCAACACATTGCTAATTGCAGTTTATATCCTAATTAAGTTCATTTGAATTACATGTTTTTGTTTGGAAAAATATTTTATAAAACAAAAAAAATCAAATTAATTCACTATATTTTTTGATAATAACAGTATTGTCACAAATAGCGAGGCAATTACGGTCGGCTTATTATTGTGGGAAATGAGTGCAAGAATTAAATGTGGGATTCATAACAGAATTAACCGAAAACTTCAATTGTTTGTCAAAACTATATTTATTTATACATTTCAGTGATCATGTCTCCAATTGTCATCATTTTAGTTGTCCTCTTAGTTTTAATATTACTCTTAATCGCTTTTGTAGTATTATGTTATATCTTCTTATATAATGCAAACAAAACAAAAGACAAAGACATTGAAGTAATTAAACAAAAAGCGATTAACAAAAGTCAACAAATAAACCAAAACTCAGACAAAAGCTTTGAGACAAAAGTAAAGAACTCAACAAAAACCGGAATTTTTCAGATGTCGGCAAACAATTTGTCTCAATTCCCTGATATCTCTCAATTGAGTTCAAGTTTACGTTCAATTGAATTGTCAAACAATCAAATCGAAAGCATTCCGGCATTTATTGAGAATTTTATCAATTTGAGACAATTTCATATAAATGACAATCAGTTAAACAGTTTGCCTCAAGAGATCGGAGGACTAATGAGATTAGAAACATTTTCCGCAAATAACAACAAAATAACTGAAATTCCCACCGATTTTCAAAGGCTAGTAAACCTGCGATCTCTGTCTCTGTCTCACAACAAATTCAGTGAATTTCCTAAAGTATTGACTCGACTCAAGAAATTATCTTTCATTCATTTGTCAGACAATGAAATGACTAAAATTGAGAGCGATATCAAAGACTTGAATGCATTGGAACTGAATTTAAATAACAATCAAATCTCAATATTATCGCCAGACATATCTCAATGCAAACGGTTGAAAGTTTTGCGGCTAAATAATAATCGTTTGCCTTTAAATGCAATGACAAAACCTATTTTAAGTGACTCTCAGATATCGACCCTAACTCTCGATGGAAATGGATTTGATGTGAAGAAAATGGATGAATTAGACGGATATTCTGATTATTTTAAGCGCCAAACTGACACAATTAGAAAATTGGGTTAAACTCCAATATGTTTTACAAATTAGTTATCAATGTTAAATTATCATTCTATTTTTTCTGTATTAACTTTGATTAATTTCGGTAAATACTTGTCGTGTGTTTAGATAAATATGTAAATAGAAGTTTATGATTTGCATTGAATTTAAAACAAGTAAATTTTCTTACAATTTTAAAGTATCTATTAACTTTATGTAACATGGTTTGCTCTGATATTGCACAATAAATATATTATATAATAATTGAATTATTGCCAATATTGTTCTAACAAACAAAAACTTTATAATGAACTCAAAAACAATTTACTGAATAAACAATTTTGTTGACTTAAATGCCAGTACAGTAGTGATAAAACACTGAATTTTGTGATATAAAACAAGTGTTGGTGGAGTCATACAAAAATGTTTTTAAATGAATTAATACTGTTTTAATCAGTAGTTTATATAGTTTATAGTTAACACAAATTCAGTCAATGTTTAGATTAAATGTAAGTCAGAGATAGTGTTCTTATGGCAACACTGGAAACGTTGAGATTTGAGTCTCATTTACTTGTAAACCATAAACGAAAGCCATTTCTAGAAATTTAATCGCATTTTAATGAAATTCAATACAAATTGTTTGTAACATATTTCCCAAGCGATGTCTGCAGACAATGAAAATATTGATGATATGAAAGTGAAAATTGAAAGTTTGAGACAAAAGTTTTTAGAGGACTATAAGGCAGACACCGATTCGTACGATGAATGCGATGTCCAGAGGGTTCGCGACTCCGAGTGGACTCTCAAACGATTCCTATTATCACATAAATTGGACGAAGAGTTGTCTCTCAAGAACTTAATCGAAGCGATGAAATGGCGAAAGAGTTTTGGTGTCAACACTAGAACTGATGACTACTTTCCCGAAGACTTCTATAAAATCGGTGGTATATTTCAGTACAACAGTGATAAGGACGGGAATCGACTTCTTTACCTCCGAGTCTGTGTTCACCATAAAGTCAATGAATTGTCTCAATTTGTCAAAGAGTACTTCGTTCATAATATCAACAAAATTGATTCATCCAGTGATGAGCAATGGGTGATGGTTTGTGACAGTAGTAACAGTGGTCTCTCTAACGTCGACATGGATTTCTCGCGATTCATAGTGGATGTCCTCCAGAATTACTTCCCTAAAGGATTCAAATATGTCATCATCTATAACATGCCTTTCCTCATGTATTCCTTCTGGAAAATAACCCAATACTGGCTCTCGGATCAGATTAAAGATCTCATTAAGACTGTCAGCGGCGACGAGATATTCAACTATATATCTGCAGAAAATGTTCCCCAAGAGATACCGGGAGGCAAATGCGCGACCAGTATATACGCCATCCCTAAAGGTGTCAAGACTGCCGAAGAGTTGCCACACATTAAGTTCACGGATGAACAGCTCAAACACATCCGAACCATCTTTCATATACAAAGTGAACCAAATTCAATGATCACTGCAAATGATCAATGATTATAGAGTTTAATGTAAATTATATTTAGACCTAATTCTTAAACAATAGGGATATTTTCTATTTAGTTGAAACATATCTAATAAATATGTTTAAACTTTTTAAAAACAGTATAATTATGTTATGAATGTTTTAATTTTCTTTTTTTAAATTCTATATAATGAGAAATTTAATGTCCTTTATTTTCAAAATCATAATTGAAAAGTATTTTGTTTTGTATATTGTTAATTGTCTAATATTATATTGCAATAACTTGTTTTCATTAAGTATAATAATATTAATACTCACTGATAAGGTTACAAAATTATAGGAACTTATTATTAGGTAAATAATAACTTTTATATAATTTGTACGTATGGTGAATTCAATAATTAAATTAAGTAAAAAATCATGAAACAATTGCCAGGAATTAACTTTATTAATCTTTGAATAGAAATAATCGATACATTACTTAAATCACTATTTGTTCGACAATAAAATACAATGCTTTGACATAAACTTTAGATTCAAACTTCATTGTAAAGGCACTCATGTCTGACTTTCGGCTAAAATATAATCAAATTAAATGAATACAGAGCTTAATCAATCGTAATTAAAATGGAAAGTAGTAATAAATATTCAAAAATATCTCATTTGAAGTTAAAATAAAATAAATCTGAAAAATAGAGTAAATAAATGTAAAAAATAAATTAACATTTGATTTCAATGAACGGAGAGTTAAAATAACATGAAATTAATTAATGAATAACACAATTTGAACATGACTTCAATTGATCAATACTATTAAAGTCACATAACTTTTTCAAATCCAAAATAATCAGTAAATTGAATCATTAATAAGTACCGATTCGGTAATATTGAGTACATTTGGTTTTTTGTTTTCATTAACAAAGAGTTTAACATTTCTATAAAAAGAAACTTCTCATAAAAAATAATCCATTTGTCAACAATTTTATAGAAAATATTCTCTAATTAACTACTAATTAGCTGCTCTTCTATACGATGTTGTTATACGTATGGGTCGAGTACTTCCTCAACACCTGCTTCTTGTGGGTGCCATAAGCCGTAAGTCTCGTCAGTCCGTACTCCTAGTGGTGGTCAACAAAATCCATATTAAAACGACAATTCATATACAAAATCAAATGAATACAAACCCAGTATCCGAACTGTATTTTGGAAGTGCGGGCGTTATTAATGCTCCAAAGGGTCCACAGTAGGTGTGAGGCCAACGCGAAATAGTCGGCCTCTTTCAGCAACTGGTCCTCCGTTTGCTTATCGCTCGTCAAGTCCCTCGAGTTCCTCAATTTGTTGTTAATTACTGTTAAACCGGTTTAAAGATTATATAAAATGTTGAAAATTTTCCACACATTTGACACATATTTATGTTTAGATGTGATTTAGTCACTCATTTCATCCATATATCAATAATTGCGTGAATATTCGTGAATGACTTACAATTATATAAACAAATTGCTTAAAAGGTTAGACTGAATGTCATTCAAACATTCAATACACCAATGTTTGCACTATTTTTGTCATATTTTCAATTCATTTAGTCCTCATTTCCCGGTTTTGCATTACATTTAATGAAATATTTGTTGTATTTTTAAATTAATTGTTAATTATATGATTGTATGATTCAATTGATTGCATGCCTTAATAGTAATGACGAGTCGGTCGGACGAGTATTTTTGCACACTTTGTGGAAAAATATTGTTTATTAGGTTTAGACTTATAAAGATTTTTATCACTAATCAATGTATAAATATTTGTTACTCTTAATTATGTTAAATAATACTGAGTAACGGGTTTCATTACTATAGTATAGATCCACCACTACCCCCACCACTCGTGATAGTGAGCTAGTTAATATTTGTTTATGTTACCAATTTAATCTAAATTATCTATAATTAGCATGTGAATTCCTGTATAATGTAATCCTTGTTTGTATATAATGTAGCATCTAGTACAAATGTACAAATTTCCCTTTCGATATTTAATTTAATCATTTTAGTGGTAAATATTTGTCTATAATATGATTGATTAATTGACAAACACTTGAATTATTGTAAATAAATGACTAGTTATTTGAAGGCATTTATTATTAAATTGATGTAATTTATCCTTTGCTATGAAATGCAAAAAACAAGCCGTTTATATAAGGCTCCAATCAAAGTCCAATGAATTTAATGTATTTTTTATATACCATTACATTAACTGATAAATCATTTGACTCTCTATTTAAACACTGGGTTTGAGATTTGATTTCCTTTTAACTGAATTGCATTGAAAGCCTTCACATCTCTATAGCTATCGTCACTGAAATTCATTACATAAATTTCATTTGAAATACAAATCTGTGTTTTCAACTGTTTTTAATTAATCTCTTGTTTCTAATTCTTTAACATTTATTCAGCGCTTGACTTATTTCACAATAGATTTGTTAGTCATTTGAAAATCAATACCATTTCGTATATGAATTATTTGATTATATAATAATTTCGAGACAAATAATATTCTGAACAAAACATGTCTGTTATTAGTGACTACTATCAGAAAGAGACAAAACCAACACATTTTGGACACGAAATGCGAGACCAGGCATACGATATCTGCAGGAAGTTCTTGAGCGGCGAATGGAATAAGATCTCCAGTAATGATATGGTCTTCAAGACTGTCAGGTAATTGTCTTTTACTCTTCAACTCTAAGAGATTTCATTGCTTTATAAATATATTGTGTGTTTTAAACATGACTTTAATTATTGGTTTCTTTATTTACGATATTTTCCATGAATAGACACTAATTATTAATTTTCATTTCATTTCATTGTGATGACTATTAATGCTATTTTCAATCGATTTTATGGCTTCTTATGAAATGTTATTAATATAAGACTTATATTCACATTATATGGTTTAATACACTCTTATTCTCTATTATAGATATGATAATACATATCACACTTTCTTATGCTCCCATCAAAAACATCCGATTATTTTATTGAACTCCATATCAATAGCTTAATTGCATGAATGATAAGAATGTGTTGCAATATTCTTGAGATACAATAATGTATATTGTATATAATTTCATATAATTATTATCTCAAATATAATTCTTGTGTTATTTAAAGTCCTTTGTGTACTGAATGTTATAGGAAGAGAATGAAGGATAGGGAGTCTTGTATCAGATACACGTGTCGATGCGATCATCCCATACGACACTCTTGTTTGTCTCTGTATTAATAGTTTGGTCTTAAGTTCCTTATAGACTGTCTGACAAATTCCTCGGCTTTCCTCTACATGTGATCTAATTTCTCAATAATTTGTTTATATTTTTTGTTTAAACTTTTCTTTCAACAGTACGTTATGTTATGTTAAGCCATACTATGTCTCCTAATATAGCATCTCCGGAGTCTGTACTCCTATCGCATGACATCAGCACTTGAAATATATCTGTCTGTGTTTTTTATGTCAAATGGCTTTGTTTGTGAATTTTTAATTAAGAGTTTTATGTTTTCCAGAAGTTGAAGGCAACCATAATATAATGCTTTTAATAAAAGCTAAAACGACTCGTAAGAGCCCCAAAAAGACAGTCTTAATTGTTATGCAATGAATTGTTTTTTGTTTAATTAGTTGATATGATCGCACCGTTTGTTAGCCTTGAATGTCACCAAAATATGAGAGAAAAGAGTGAGAGTTTACCCTCAATGCCATTAATGCCAATGAATTTCAAGGATTTATACGTAAATGAATGAGTAATACTAAATTAAATCACTTTCTCTGTAATTATAATCCATTATAGCGGAGGACTGAGTAATTACTTGTACTACTGCTCACTGCCGGCCACTCACACGCCTCTCAATGGAGAGCCGAGTCAAGTGTTGCTCCGAATGTATGGCCAACTGCTGGACGGGAACGACACTAAAGTAACCGATTCTGTAATAACAATGTTATTGTCTGAACGAAACTTAGGGCCAAAACTGTACGGAATATTTCCCGGCGGAAGACTCGAGGAATACATTCCCGTAAGTAATCGGTGTTTTGATTTAAATTTACAAATTGTGTGCAAATTGCAGACCAATAGACAGTATCTGTAATGGATGTGTGCTTTTAAGAGCAATGTTTGCAGACAAACCCTGTCCTCCTGACAACTGGTGTCCCAAAAACCTATCGTTTGTCTGCTCTTTTGCGGCCAATCATTAGGATTGACAAAGTAGTGAGGAATTCGAGATAATTGTCATTTAAATTGCAATTTTTGTTTTCGTGATTGAAGTTTTGTTTTATAGTCTTTTCTTTTATTTTCTCTTTTATAACATTAATTGAACCAAAAAACTAAAGGCTCGAGC